CCGTCTCTCTGTTACTTGATGTGTGCATTCTTAGCTTCATTGGAGCCTGTCTATACGATTCAAAATCCACCTGTGTTCAGCTCTTTGCTATTACTTCTTTCTGACTAAACTTGCCCGGCTGAACTCACACACGAGACTTACCTGACCATTTTCGGATTAGCCTCGGGCATAAACAAACGCACACTGAATGAAGTCACGTTCAACAGAGCCAGCATGAGTTCATTACGACTAGGGCGCACACGTGTGTCGTGACCAACAACCTTTGTGAGTACCCAGTCGGACTCGCGTAACCAAATGTGTCGAAAACCGTCAACCATTGTAGTCTGCGTATCGTCCTGGTAAGATTGAACACGTTCGAGGAAAACACAAGGCAGTAAAAATGCATGAGTAGAGGGGGTGGGCACACGCGAGATCGATGGAAAAAAATGAGAATCTTGAATCAGTAATATTATTTCAACTCATAAGAATGTGAACATACCCTCGGGTTAAGCAGAGCTCAATGCTATCTGGCACGTCTCTAGGCTGTGGATAGAGGGATACATTCACCGAAGAAGGTTAGCTGTAAATAAGTTGTGGCATACCGCAACAAATAAGCAGTCGCGAACAAACAACGGTGGCACTATCAGAGTTTGGCGGGTTTCAGGCTGGTCACCTGGCTTCTGTTCAATAAGACCTTTTAAAGCTAAAGTCATTGAGCCCCTAACTTCCGAGGCAAGAGATTACCTCCTGCTGCCTTGCATTTCGCACTTAGTTGTGCAAAGGTTAGAGGTGCGCCCTTAAAATTAAAAACGCCGAGTGATGTTGGGAACATCTCTCGTATCACACCTCCAAGGAGCTTCATGGTCATTATCATGATCATGTCTGGAGCCGGCTTATCCTTTCCAAAGAGCCAGCCGCATTAAAGTAAAGTAAAGTAAAGTATATGTGAACATATGCTTTGAACAAGGAAAAATCGATTGGAGTGCATGAATTCGTTTGTATGGTGTTGAACAACGTAAACCACCCAAGCATGAATGACCTTCAGGATCATCAGCTGAGCCTAGTCATCATACCTTCCACGCCTCCTGAATAACGCTTGTGGAGAATGAACATTCAGTGAATGAATATCTACTTACCGCTGGTTGATATTCCAGTTGTAGCGTTCCATTCAACGCAGTCATTTTCGCATCGATCCGATAGGGCATGCGTACAATGAAACCACCGGCTTCATCACGATTCACTGCCGGTCCCGTGGTCATCAATTCCATCGGGTATCGAGAATCTGGGGCGTTCAGTCGGCAATCCCCGGTACGTAAGCATTCGGTAGAGATGGCAATCACCACACTGCCGTAGTTTCGCATCTGCCCGATTAGGAAGAGAGTGAGACAGCGAATCCTTGTTTTGTTCGGGTGCTACTGTTTACATTTATTTGCATGGCATGCAAGACAGTTGGTGGATAACGGATATCCACCGAGTTTTCTACAGAAAATTCAAAAAGGTCTTAAAAGATCTGCAGAACAGGAAGTCAAAAAGACCAATTGGATCGCAACTAGTATCATATTTTATCGCCGCAATACGTCAGAAGAAATCCAACGAATCTTAAAGCGTTTCAATAAACGAGTCGCAGTTCGGACAAACAACACCCTTCGTTCACTCTTGATGCGACTTAAGAATAGACGACCAAAAGCTGATCAATCGAATTTTATTTACAAGATAGGATATAAACAGTGTACAGCCACGTACGTTGGCCAGTTAAGTCAACAACTAAAGACGCGGATAGCGGAACATGACAGAATATCCTAACGCTCTCCAGGAAATGCATCGGAGCTCAGGACTCTTGAGAGGGATCCAGCTATCGCTCTACATTCCATTTCTGAGGGACACTCTATAGACTTAAAAAAAAGCGATTATTCTCAAACAAGGTTTCAGATCGTATAGAGAACAATTAGTTACTGAGTCATTGTTCATTAACAACGATCCACTTTGAGTCACTCGATCGGACGGGACCCAAGTATCAGTTCACTGACTTGATGCCAGTAGCACAACCAACCGATCACACACACACACCCTTGCCTACTAACACACAAGACTTAATTTCACCACGCCAAAAAGCTGCTCACGGATTAATCTCCCATTTTCTATGACGTCATCCTTAGCTCTTTGATCTCTTGCTTCATTCACAACTTTCATAATCATCTCGCTGCATCTGCACACGTGCAATGTCCTTCAAGCTGAAACTGTTTGCACCCAAAGGTTTCACTTAATAGCCTCTTTTTCCCATAAACTTGCATACTGGTGTTCTTCCTGCACTTAGAAATAAGGCTATACTGATATTCACGGTTCCCCCAGTATTGTGCAATTACGGTCCCTTTACCGTATCTTCTAGGACCACCAATTACATTCTACTTGACCGCCCAACCTTTGTGCTGTGAAAGTTGTGGTGAAAATAATAATAATAATAATAATAATAATAATATATCCAGCAGATTTATTACTGATCGGAATAAACCTTCGTAAAACGTGTGCATTGGCCATCAACTTGGAAACAGTTTTGGCAGAGAGGGCACCAAGGAAATTTTAATGCTACCTGGCTTTGCGTATCTAAGTCCTACAGCGGACAGACTCAATATCTGAAAACAGTTCGTGGGTAAGCAACAATCAATGGCACCATTCGTTAGTTTCTTTCCAGTAAACACTTTTATGGTCTATCCACAACATAGCTGGCAGACATTCAGGCAGAGGGATACCACCAGCT